ATGAAAGAAAATGGAAACAGATGAAGACTTTAAAAATATAATGACGTGAATATTGGGCATATCAACTTTGGCATGAATGGGATTTTGCGAAGAGCGTGCATGTTTGTGTTTATCAGAACTGCTTATTGACAGGTAATAATGGCTTCTGTGGTATAATTAGGATTTATGTCATAGAGGGCGAACAGAGGAGGCCAGTCATATTCCTTTCTTAGTGATATTCACTTGTGACGATGAAATGAGTTTTATTTAAATTCTCTACATTTTACAAGAATATAATGAAAAAAAACTAGGAAGAACTATAGTACAGAACTGTCTGTTTAACCTCCAAAATGTTGCTCATCTTCCATGAACCTCTTACTCTGAACATTAAAATACTTTTTTTAAACACTAGCAGTAAAATCATATATTAATCATCATTAATATATAAATGTGGACAAAGACACAAGTCTTGTTTGGAATTAGTTTCAAGAGATGAAGTCAAGCCTAACATATTTTTCTATGATTTTAAGTGAAAAAAGTACAGTGGTTTACTATGTGGTAATATGAGGGCTTTGAAAATAATTAATACGCATGTACATGAAAAGAGGCTTTGGGTAAATTGCCTATGATAGAAGGAGTAAAGTGTGAAAGTTGTCTGACCCTCTGACCTATGTCTGGTTAAAGATGAACTTGCTGACCTTTGTTTGACCTCTGTGTTTTAGTTGCTGAGATTTATGTATTTATCTTTCAACTAAAAATATACTACAAATAAATTGAAATAGGGTCATGCAGTTCCTCATTATGCACGCAGGGGCACTGTTAAACCAGGTGGATTGAATGTTATTTGTTTTTCTTGCAGCATATGTTTATTTTTGACTAATGGTACAGACATTATGGGCACTTAGAGCCTGAGCTGAGCATGTCGTTGTGGATCTGTCGTCACTGCGGCGAGGCCCCCACAAGCACACTGGTCATCCTGTCACATTAAGGCCAAGAGTCTCAGTCAAGCAGGTGTCAGTTTCAGTGCTTTGCACTAATAGTTCTGTAATAGTGGAGTGGTTTGACAGCTTCTTGAAGAAAGAGAGAGAGAGTTATTTTACATGTGGTGACAGAGAGAGGATTGGCTTACATGATTGACTCAAAGGCCTAAAAGACAGTTGGGACACCTTAGGCTTAAATCACTTTTTGCAGATATTATAACATGATTATCAATTGGACGGGCAAACAATTGGCATAGAGGTGCAAAGAAAAGGGAGAACAAAAAAATAACTTTTTTAATCAGAAACATCTTCATCTACTGCTTAACCCTCTTCAGGGGCGTAGGGGTGGTGGAGCCACTCCCATTGACGGAGGGCAGGGTTATATACTGGACAGTTCAGCAGTTGATCCTCTTGAAGATTCACACATTTCTCAGTTTTCTTGTGTTGCCTTAGTGGTCAACTCATACTCAAACGCAGTCAGTCATCCCTCTGGTGATTTATTGATCCACCTTGACCAGCTCAGAGGATCCAGGTCATTACAACATGCCATTGTACCATGTAGAGACTAGAGAATAATCACTTCCCCCTTGTCTCTTTATCGGGGGTCGCCACAGTGGTAGTTGTCATAGTGATTTGGTTAGTCTTTTCTGACTCAACCCATTTCGGGACACTTGAGTGAAAATAACAGTAAAACTGTAAAATCCTCCTGGTGAAGTTAGTCCAAAAATCAAACAGTTCTACTTACTGAGAACCTACACAGACACATCGTACTGTAAGAAATAACTAACATGTTTGAATCTTTCTCTCAGATGCTGTCTCATGCTGCTTTATACACAGATTCTGCCTTTTCATCTTTTTTTTTTTTTTTTTTTTTTTTAAGAAATATCATTTTGTCAGCCACATTTCTTGGGCTCTGAAGAAAATAAAAGCACACACACACAATTCTTTCCTGGTGTGTCATGTTTGTTTGTCTGTTTAAAAACCCAGATGTAATTGAGGGGCGAAACCACATCAGATACACCGGCCGCTACCTCTCCCCTGTGGGGAGGAGGGGGCGGGGGTATACAGATCTGTCTCTGGGGAGCACAATTAACAGCATTTTATTGTTTACTAATGAATTACACACAGCAGAGGAGGTAGTGCACGTTCAGGAGAGTGAAAAGTATGTACTATGTCAAACAGAAAAAAGCAGAACTACGTGTAGCTGTTGTTTTTCTCTTCTGGAATATTTTTGTTTAGTATATTATAATACTATAGTATTAGTAAGTAAAGTATTTTAGTATTTTATAATTAATAACAAAGAATAGGGTTTGGTATAGTATTAGTAAGTAAAGTAGTATAGTATAATTAATAACAAAGAATAGGGTTTGTGGTACCTTAGAAAATGAAGTAATCTGTCAACTGCAGGGACGCTGTCCTTGACTTGTGTTATTTCATTTTCACTTACATTAAGAAAAGAATTTTGGTTTGAAATGTTCACCAGGAAATGGAAACAGGAGGAAGCAGTAATGCAAGAGTAACGGAGTAGCATTCGAAACGACTCAAATATGTTTGAGTTGGACTTCAATGATTTTTTAGTAGATTAGTTTTAATGGTAGTTTCATGTAGTAAATTGTTATGTTTAAGGTTAAACAACTAGGCTTTGGGCTTTGGTTGGGCTCTTAGATAAAGAGTAGTCAGCCCTGTGTGTGTGTGTGTGTGTGTGTGGGTACGTACATGTGTACACCCCTGTGTGTATTTGATATGCATGGACTAACACATGCCTCAAGGCCAATGTAAACAAATGCTAATGTAATTACTGAAGGGACACAGTGATAAACTGTAACTAAGATGATTGCTGAGCACGCGTAGGTGACTTCATCTCTGACGCTTTATTGCTTTAAATTAACGGTTGTACAAAGACTGATTCCCTCGTCATGCAATTTATACAACGGCCTCAGCCTTTTCACATTTAATGGGGTTTAAATCAATCATCACAGTCGTGTTTTTAGCATGTAATCCCATAACACAGATAAAAAAAAAACAACTAAAAGGCAAAACATATTCAATTGACTCCATAACCTCGACCTCTGCGTTTTTTTATATGGCAATATAGATTTATCTGTTTTT